ACTCCTCGGAAGGAAGATGGGGCAATCTACTTCCGTAGTGATACTGCCTCGGAAACCCAAGGAGGGGTCGCTATGAGTCGGGTCCGACTTGATGGCACATAACAACAACAACAAAAATTTCAATCTCATTAAAACTTTCAAAGGAGTTCTTAGACTCCTTTTAATGAGTACCCCAGTATATATACTCTTTAAATATTTATTGTTGCTGTTAGGTGCTTTCAAGTCTGTTCCAACTCATAGTAACCCTATATACAGCAGAACAAAAACACTGCCCATTCCTTCACCATCCTCACAATCCTTTCTGTGCTAGAGCCCATTGTTGCAGCCACTGTGCCAGTTCATCTCACTGAAGGTCTTCTCCTTCTTTACTGCCCTTCTACTTTACAAAGCATGATGTCCTTCTTCAGGAAGGGTCCATCTGATAACACGACCAAAGTATGAGAGATAAAGTCTGGCCATCCTCTCTTCTGAGGGACATTCTCACTATACTTCTTTCAAGACATATTTGTTCTTCTGTTAGTCAACGGTTTAGTCAATATTCTTTGCCAACATATAATTTAGATGCATCCTTTCTTCCTCAGTTTTCCTTATTCATTGCCCAGCTTTCACATGCATGTAAGGTGATTGAAAATACCATGGTCAGGAACACCTCAGGCTTCAAAGTGACATTTTTGCTCTTAAACACTTTAATGAGGTCTTCTGCAAAAGCAAATTTGCCATCATTTGATTTCTTGACTGCTGCTTCCATGCATGTTGATTATGGATCCAAGTAAAATGAAATTCTTGATAACTTCAATCTTTTTCTCCCTTTAGTGTGATATTGCTTTTAGCCCACTGTGAGGGTTTTTCTTTTCTTTATGTTGAGTTGTAATCCATATAGAAGCCTATAGTCTTTGATCTTCATCAGTAGATGCTTCAAGTCTTCTTAGCTTTCAGCAGACAAGGTTGTGTCATCTGCATATTACAGGTTGTTAATTGTCTTCCTCCAATCCTGATGCTGTGCTCTTCTTCATTCACT